TGAGTTTTCTAACAAGCTGTCAATATACCCAATGACAGCAGACATGGAAGCAGCTACATGCAAGAATGGTTCTCTCTATTTTGCTTAGCTTTTGACTCTTTTTTTGCACCCACTTTTAATGAAATTCTTCAATTTGCAAATTTCTAAACCCTCCAGCCCTAGAATCAATTTGATGGCCTTAAGTCTACCCAATCCTTTGCAATGTTCCATTCAACTGTTTGAAATATTAATTTGTTGATGGGATGAAATACATGTGGTTCCACACTTCAAAAAGAAATGAAAGAATGTTGCCATTTGTAACAGGAAGAGATCATACAAATTAAATTAAAATAAAACCCACAATGTCTCATTAATGCACCCCTTGATTCTTTCACAATAAAATTGTTGAATTCATAGATTTGTTTAGATCTCTGTGTGTATGTACCTTTAACTACCATAATTTATTTCTAACAATTTTGTTTCACAAATTGTTCACACCAGACCAGTCTTTCTCAGGAAATGGAAAATAGCATTTCCAAGACAGATCACAGATATCACGGTCCGTTGTCACTTGTTTCACTTGAGTCTGATTCAACATAATATGTTGTTCTCTGATGGTTGGGATTAACAAATAGATCATCATCATCATCATCATCATCATCATCATCTTCTTCATCATCATCCTCATCATCCTCACTAATGCCATTAATATTCTGTTCACAGACATTGCTAAAAACATAACATGAGAAAATTGTTATGCATGATCTGCAATAAATATGGTTACTAATCAAAGTAGAATGTGATAGCTTGTGGCTAGCTTGACATGACAATCTTGTCTCATCTGAAATGTTTGTGAGAGATCCTTCATGATTGTATGTGAGCTGCAGGTTTATTTTCACAACATAACAACATAACAAGTTTAATTTAAGGTAAAGAGGAGTGTTATGTTTATGTAAAGTCTACCACACAGGTTTACTGCTTTTTGTATTCACTAATTGACTGGTTTGGAAGTGATTAGCAAGCACTATTCACCTCTGAACAGCAGAAGAGACAACACTGCATTTCAAGAGTTAAATTCCCAACAAGATTTTGGTACATTAACAGAAATAAACTAATTTTTTTGTTTCCTGGTGGTATATACTAATTTCAAAAAATAATTCAAATCTGTGTCAGTAAAAGGGAGCCCTTATTCTCTCATGGTTATTGACAATTGATCACAGGAAAACTGGTCAGTTTAGATTTGTAACATCCATTGAAAAAGCAAGTCTTGACTCAAAGTTCTCAAAACATTATTCACCACCATCCGCAACTTAACCCTGACCAAGACAGAATTTTTCTTTACTATATTTATACTATATCATGAAGACAAGTGATGAGAATGAAGAAAAATAACAATTATGGGATTATTAATTAATCCAATAACAAATTCTCCAGACTAACATGATGAGAATCGTTTGGCAGACAGTAAAGAGAATTAATAATGAGATCTTGGGAGTTAAAAGGTTAAAAGTCCTCTCCAGAGCTACCTTCACTTCTATAGTTACTATGATATGTCTTGTAAGTGTTGACTATTTACTGTATTGTGAATCCTGTTAAAACTGAGGGGAAATTGTTAAAAGACAAACAACTTCATGCTTTTGTCATTTTGCTACAAACAGTCAGAAACCAAACCCAACAAAAACATTCTACCTTGAGAATATATATTATTCTTTATAAAAACACTTTGGACTAAAGGTACAGAGCCATAAATTATATTAAAGGCATTAAAAAATTTATACCTGTTTACTTGTTTGTCATCTGATTTTTTATCAGTTGAAGCTTTGTCTGCAAATGTTGAAGGCCTTGAAGTTTAAGTCAAATGAAAACAAGTTGAATTTACCCTATAACTCTTAGAAGTGATTAAAATGTAATGTCACTTCCATTACATCCAAACATTATCCTGCAAAAAGGTTATGAGATCACACTCAAACTTATCAAGTAGAAGTTGTTTTCTTGATCAAACACAAAATTCTTGTAGAGAATCCACAAAAAATTTGTAGCAGCTAAAAGGGAGAGTTAACAATCAGATCTTGGCAATTAAGGGTTAAAGTTTAATTCTGCTCACAAGATTATCCTTCTAAAGCTTAAAAGGCTATGCACCAATGCTAAATAGCATTGTTAGCCCTATTAATTGCAGGTGACCTAAAAGAATTTTCCCTTCCAATATCAATGATGAAAAGAATCAGCAAATAACAACAATAACAACAGCACAATAACAACAAGAAGATAATTCTTAGTTTAAAACCACATTCTTGAAGCCAGAATTAACAAAAGAATTACAGACAGTGAGAAGAGTCTATTTATTAATGTCCTTAGTGAAAAGTGTGAATCCCACATAATCATGAAATAACTTAACAAAATTAAAAACAAATATCTTACCACAGTCCTTCATTTTTCAGATATTTGATTTGTTTGCTGTACAGAATATGAACAATCTCAGCACACACTTTGTTCCCCTCTTCTATTGGGTCCACAATAACAAAATCTCCTAGAGTAGGAAATATTGAGAACATATTTATTTTTAAATGGGCATGCAACAAAAGTTGCTATGAGTAAGGCATGAGACAGCATTCCTCCCTTTATTGACAATGCATCTTCATCTTTTGCACCTATTAAATGTACTTTTTCAAGATACATTTTCTGAGAAAAAATAACATTAATCAAAAAACAATGAAAAAGGAAAATTAGGCAGGATAATATAACAGCCTAAATTGAAAATGAGAATACATTCCTCTCTGTTGTCTTAACAGTTTTGTCTGGGATAGTTGCTTGAAATAAGCAATTAAAATCATCATCATTATTTTTTTCCAGGGGTTTTAAACACAGGTTAAAAACAACTGTTCTTAAGCCTCCATCCATACCTCTTTTAATCCATACACTCTTTCTGAATTTTGATGGCATACTGACAAGAAATTTTGTGCCATCAGAAGTTTCCACTTCATGAAGGTTGTTTCCACGTCCACCTAATATCTTTCTCAGGGAAAGAAATATTGATTTATAAGTTTTACTTGTAGCAATTTTCATTTTCAGAAGTACATCTACTGGGCATCTCCATAGTATAAACAATTCAACAGAGCAGTAAAATCTAGCTCAGGAAGTTATAAAGAATAAATTGTTGGAACAAGATAGAAATATATTTTCCCTTGTCTTACGCTCTGTACTGGCCATGTGAAATGGAAGAGATTTGCTCCTTTCACAGAAGATATACTTTGCTCATCCAACTAAGACCCCCAGAAGAGAGTAACCTCATCCTAACTCCCCTCCCACCAGACCCATCTACTTTCCCATAAGAGAGGAGGGAAGGGCATGTAAGCTTTTTTTAACCCCTTCTCCTCCCTATCAAAAAACAATTGCCTTAAAACATGCTATTGGAACGTTCCATTTCTTTCTACTCTGTTATTAAAGACCACCTTCCAACAGCCATATTTCTTTCCTCTGAACCTTTGACGTTTGCACCTAGGGGATTCCAAATTTGTTTAATCTTCATTACTCAAATCTTGACTGGTTCTGAGCCAAATAAAAAGGTGCCTTTTCAAAGACTGGGGAGGAAATGGGGGGAGGGGGGGAATACATATAAAATATGGAATGTCCAAAATTTTACACCCTTCCACACTTACTGAGTGCAAAATTTCTTTAACTTAGGTCTGACATTTCTTCTCTGGCTGTTCCACAGAATTAAATCAGTGAGATATCACGGAGATGTTTCTTAGCCGCCGCCTAACTTAAATCTTATTACATTTGCAATAAGCTATGCCTTAAATTTTTATTTAAATTTTGTTCTCTCTACGGAGCAAAGGGGGTAACAACATGTTTACTTTATAAAGATGGTAAAACTTACTCGCCCCATTTGTTCTCCTACCTTAACAATCTGTTGATTTGGGTCTGGAACAACGTAATCGTCCAGCACTTCTTTCGCAACGTGCTTTCTCTTCGTCGCCTGCGACATGATTTAACAAAACTGAGTGCAACAAAGCGTGCTTACGATGCGCTACTCGCGTCAAAAATGGGCTCCTATGCCCACTACTCAATGCTTCTGCATAATCAAAGAGCCATGGTCATCATTTTCTATCCTGCAACGAGTAAATCTGAGATATTCTTTAAAAAATATTCAGTGCACATGCATCCACGTTTGGAAGCCATTTTGTTACCTCTAGTTCCCATGACTCTCTCGGTCACGTGTAGAATTCCGACCGTCTTCTCGTTACCCAACACAGTACGAAAACCCAACGAAGACATACACAGCTGCATGAGCCCATTACATGACAGCTGATATTGCCAAGCCATGACCCCGTTGACCAGTCATTCTTTATCACCGGAGATTTTCGGGAGGATTGCATGGTTAGTCAAGGGGAATAGAGGGCTCCCAGCGGGGCTCCCAGCGGGGGATCTAGTCTTTGGCACAAATAAATAAAAGGGGTAAGTTTCCAAAGAAATAAAGAAATAACAGGGTAATTTAGTGTTATCAACTGAGTTTAAAACGTAAATTGGCCACCGTAAAGAGTTTAAAGGCTGCCGTTTTGAGTGTTAGCCCTTCACCAATGGCTCTGACTAAGGGCTAAGGCTCGAAACGTCAGCCTTTAAACTCTTTACGGTAACCAATTTACTTAACTGATAACACTGAATTACCTAGTCTTTTACACAGACACAGGCCAGGTGGTTCTATTTCAGTTACACGG